GATAATTTCTATAATTACTTTATATTTCCTTTGACTGAAACGTATTTATTCAGATGAATTTGCTAACGATTAGATAGATAATTTGATAAAGTCATCAAATTATCTAAAAGTATTTATAAAGATTTTCATTTATAGAACATTTTCGAATCGTACACTTTTAAGGAACCTAAATTAGCTCAACCTATCAAAAACTCCTTACATATATATTAACAGACTTAGATGTCTGATATCTTATTACTTTTTTCCATTAACCATTAGGTTAATTTTAATTTTACTTCAAAACAACAGATTTGGGTTATTAGGTAAATTTTCATTTTAATTTAAAACACAATACATTGGTTCTATTTAATCGTAAATTTAATTGAAATCAAAATAAAATTTAATTAATAATTTAAATAAAATTTATAATTTCATAAAAATCTTTTAAAATGAAAAGAAAATTTACTTAATAATCCCAAAAAAATTTTTTTAATTAAGATATCTGGTAGCTGAAAATATGGTACATTTATAAATTTAATGATATAAACACAGCCCTTAATATCTTCTATCTAAAACTGTAGATTCTGCGAAGAAAATGAAGAGTCAGCCAAACATGTGCTATTAGAATGTCCTGCGCTAATGTACACACGGAATAGACTCTTGGATATGTACATCCTTATAGAAGAGACAAAACTCTGTGAAAGTCTGGGTTTAGAGACTTACTCTACCCCCAAAACGGTGCACAATAGACTCGACGATCGCAGTGCCACAATCCCTAACACAAATTTTGCAATTGTAAAAATTATTACGGATATTTAAAAAAACATTTTTAAATCTTACCAAATAACAAAAAAAAAACGCCGAATACTTTTTGTCCAACCTAATAATATAAATAATATAAATAATATATAACTATTTCTAAATAAATCACAAATCTTTGAATTTTTTCATATTTTTGTAGTAAAATATTTCTTTATATCATATTCATGATCTTTTATATTTCATTTTAATTCCTGCATCCTTAGCACCACTAATCTTCCTCATTCAAGCGCCATACTCGTTCAATCAAATGTCAACGCATTTTCTAGTAATATTTCTTCTTATATATTTTCAGAGTATGACTAAGCAATGAAATACAGTAAACTATACGTATGTATGTGTATGCTTAAGTATTTATATACAAAAGTATCTGTGAAAAGTATGGCTTCTATTTTGGTAAGATTTTGTTTGTTTTTGTTATTGTGGATGGATGGGATTGTTGTGGACGGCGTCATTTTCGCATACAAGAAAAGTAGGTCAAATTTTTCGGTGCTTTATTTTTGGGGTAACAGAGAAAATTGCTTTGCATTAAATTAATGTGGAAAATTATCGAGTTGTAGTTGAAATGTTCTTATGCATCCAATGTTCTTATGCATCCACAGAAAAAAAAAGTGGAGAACTAAAATGCATGGCACTTAAGGCACAGTGGCACGAATGATTTTTTTAAAGGTCAGTTTTATATAATGTGCACTTAAGTGATGATTCAGGCGCACTTAATTGAAATTTAAGTGAGAATTTTTAGTGCCAAATGGCAATGAATTAAGGAACACTTGGTTATTTAGCAATTAAGTCAAGGATTCATACAGGGATTAATTTAAAGAGGATTTTTGTAAAACAATTCAAGGTTCATATGAAAACTTTTTTGTTTGAAAAAAATCTCTTAAAAATTATATAAAATGATTCAAAATATTCAGAAGAGCTTTAACTCCAAAACATTTTCCTAAATACCACATTGGATTTGTCATTGTTGGATTTAGTTTGAGATTACACAAAGGATCGTGATTAAAACTCTTTGAAGGAAGTTAGT